TATAAAATAATAATTTAACAGAAACATTCATGTATAAAATAATAATTTATCAGAAACATTCATGTATAAAATAATAATTGAACAGAAACATTCATCTATAAAATAATAATTTAACAGAAACATTCATCTATAAAATAATAATTTAACAGAAACATTCATGTATAAAATAATAATTGAACAGAAACATTCATGTATAAAATAATAATTTATCAGAAACATTCATGTATAAAATAATAATTGAACAGAAACATTCATGTATAAAATAATAATTGAACAGAAACATTCATCTATAAAATAATAATTTATCAGAAACATTCATGTATAAAATAATAATTGAACAGAAACATTCATCTATAAAATAATAATTGAACAGAAACATTCATCTATAAAATAATAATTTAACAGAAACATTCATCTATAAAATAATAATTTAACAGAAACATTCATCTATAAAATAATAATTTAACAGAAACATTCATCTATAAAATAATAATTTAACAGAAACATTAATCTATAAAATAATAATTGAACAGAAACATTCATCTATAAAATAATAATTTAACAGAAACATTAATCTATAAAATAATAATTGAACAGAAACATTCATCTATAAAATAATAATTGAACAGAAACATTCATGTATAAAATAATAATTGAACAGAAACATTCATGTATAAAATAATAATTAACATTATTTATCTGAGGAGCAGCTTTGAGTTTAACTCCATCACTGAACTCTCATCTTGAACAAGCATGAAGGCGACAGTGGAAAGAAAAACTCCCTCATGAGGAAGAAACCTTTAGCAGAACCAGGATCAGGACCAGAGGACCATCTGCTTCGACCGGCTGGGTTTGGTAGGAATAGATACACAATGGCAGGTCAAGAATCACATGTTAAGATAGAAATAGTATCAATTGGGGCAGCACGGTGGTGCAACTGGTAGAGCTGCTGCCTCTCAGCGAGCAGGTCCCTGGTTCAAACCCCGGTCCAGGGGCCTTTCTGGGTGGAGTTTGCATGTTCTCTCCGTGCATGCGTGGGTTTTCTCCAGGTACTCCAGTTTCCTCCCACAGACCAAAAACATGCATGTTAGGCTGATTGGTAACTCTAAATTGTCTCTAGGTGTGAATGAGAGAGTGAATGGTTGTTTGTCTCGTTTGTCTCCATGTGTCCCTGTGATGGACTTGCGACCCGTCCAGGGTGTACCCCGCCCCTCGCACAGGGATTGCTGGACATGGGCACCGGCGACCCCCGTGACCCAAAATGGAATAAGCGGGTAAAGAAAATGGATGGATGGATAGTATCAAATGAAAACTATTCAATTTTAACAATTCATTTAAGAACATGAGGTCAGTTTGTCCTCTAGTAGTCTAAGTCTATAGCAGCATAACAAGCCGACCCTAACTATAGGATTTATCAAAAAGGAAAGTCTTAATCCCAGTCTTAAACTGGACAATGTGTCAGCCTCATGGACAGAAACTGGAAGTTGGTTCCACAAGAGAGGAGCCTGAGAACTGAAAGATCTTCCTCCCATTCTGCTGCTGGAAACTCTAGGAACCACGAGTAAACCTGCAGTCTGAGAGTGAAGTGCTCTGTTAGGAAAATATGGAACAATAAGATCTGTAATATAAGATGGAGCTAGGTTGTTGAGAGCTTTGTAGGTTAGAAGTAAGATTTTGAATTAAGTTCTGGATTTGACAGGGAGCCAATGGAGAAAAGCTAAAACTGGAGAGAGATGATCTCTCCCAGTAACTCCAGTTAAGATCAAAAACGAAAAAGAACTAAAAGAAAAGACACAGAGCAGGTATGCTGCCATCTTGATTATGGATATCTGAATAGTTGTCCTAACATATGAATATCTAAGGGTAGAACATTTTTCATTCAACCTTTATTTCTACAGGTTAATCCCATTGAGCCTCGAGGACTCATTTACAAGAGAGACCTGATTTAACAAATAACACAGATGAGGTACAGACAACAACAGACAATCATATAAAAGCATATAAAAGGAAAAGTAAATGGAAGAAATGAAATTAAAAATGAACCAAAAAAAAACCCATTATAAAACAGGAACATGTCTACACTGATTTGTGCCATGAATTTAGCAGTTGTTTAAAATCCCTTTAAGGTCAAGATCTTCAGAGCTTCAGATCTTTTTACAAGATATTCCAGGAAACAGGAGCGGAGTAGGAGAAGGTCCTTTTGTCTAGTTCAGTCCTCACTGAGGGAACACTGCAGGTAATGATGTCCTGAGAGCGCACGCTGTAGCTGCACTCACACAGAGACATGTAGGAGGAGATGTATGAAGGCAGCAGACCAGGAAGTGATTTAAAGATGAAAATGTACCAGTGAGAGAGCCTGTGTGAAGTTAATGGTGACCAGTTAACCAGTGAATACTGGGTGCAGTGATGGGTACGGTAGTTACAGCCAGTTAATGCACCGTGATAACTTTATTTTATATAACAGACACATATTGATTATATTTTTTGTATTTTATATGTTGGTGTTATATAAATAAACTGAAGTGAATAAACTGAATTCTAAAGCCTGGCAAAGTTTGCAGCTAATCAAACCTTTTAACCAATCACAACCTCTCTACTAACTTACTGACCAATCACAGCCTCTTTACTAACTTCCTGACCAATCACAGCCTCTCAACTAACTTACTGACCAATCACAGCCTCTCAACTAACTTACTGACCAATCACAGCCTCTCTACTAACTTCCTGACCAATCACAGCCTCTCTACTAACTTACTGACCAATCACAGACTCTACTAACTTCCTGACCAATCACAGCCTCTCAACTAACTTCCTGACCAATCACAGCCTCTCTACTAACTTACTGACCAATCACAGCCTCTCTACTAACTTACTGACCAATCACAGCCTCTCTACTAACTTACTGACCAATCACAGCCTCTCAACTAACTTACTGACCAATCACAGCCTCTCTACTAACTTACTGACCAATCACAGCCTCTCAACTAACTTACTGACCAATCACAGCCTCTCTACTAACTTCCTGACCAATCACAGCCTCTCTACTAACTTCCTGACCAATCACAGCGCATCGCTACAAATCATGGTCACTAATAACCGGCAGCCAATCAGAGCGTCTCCTCCGCGCGGCTGAACCAATCCTGTCATAACAACACGCATGATGCTGCCTGACATTGCGCACGCGCACTCTGCGGACAGCTGATAACTCATCTATTATGCTACTTTGCTGTTGAATAAAAATTCCTGCAGAGAGACGTCGGAGGCGCCGCTGGATCACCGGAGGACCGAAACTCAAAGTAAACGCGTCTCTCTGGGCAGTGGAGCAGGGGTTGGCGGGGTAAATGGGCCGACGGTTCGATCCTCAGTGTGTCGGAGGCTGCTGGCCGCTCGGCGCCTTCAGACAAAGCTCAGCTAACAGGCTAACATGTCGAAGAGCGAGCAGTAACATCCGCCAAATATCAGAGTTCTGACCGAATAAATCGGTTCGCAGAGAGGTCCAGAGCTCATAAAGTATCCGAACGTTCCCTTCCACACACGCAGAAGCAGCACCATCACACCCAGCGACCACCCTCAGCTCTCCGGTGAGCAGCGCTACTCGGCAGCTAGCAGCTAGCTTAGCGGTAGCTTGCCCGCCATCTTTAGAGCTCGGTAGGCGGATGTTTCGGTCCGCGAGACGGCGGGAGCGGGCTGGTCGCTGCGCTCGTGCAGTCGGGTCAGAACCCGCAGAACACCAACAGGCCCGCGTGCCGAGCTGCGGGTGGAGCCGCTGCGTGGCTGGACGTGTGCGGAGCAGCCCGTCATTAGCGTTAGCTGCGGCCGGAGCGCAGCAGCGGGCTGGCAGGCTTCTCTGCGCCCGGAGGGTTCGTGGCCCGGCTGCAGGCACAGGCCGGTCCGTAGAGGGCTCCGTGAGACGGGTCCATGTGGTTCTGATGCTGCGCGTCAAAATAAATGGTTCCTGTCGTAAGTTTGTCTTTAAATGTAACGTGTGTGCTGAACATGAGCTCCGCTTCGACAGGCACAAATCACTTTTTACAGGTGACAATAAATAATAACAAGTAATAATAAATAATAACAAGTAATAATAAATAATAACAAGTAATAATAAGTAATAATAAGTAATAACAAGTAATAATAAGTAATAAAAGTGACGAATAAACTTGATGATGTCTGAGAGGAGCAGAATTTATCTTCAGGAAGTTACAGACCTGTTGACAGATGTGAGACAGATGATAAACATGAAGGATGAAACTGGATCCATGGACATTTGACCCTTTGACTAGTTTCACTTCAGGCTAATTACACTTCAGATTAATTTTTTATTATATATATATATTATAAGTTGCGACACCAGAGATGCTCTTTATTTGGTTCATTATAAGTTTATAAAGAGGAATGAGTGAGATGAGTGGGACGTGAGTTTTTCTTCGGGTGATGCTGATCGAATCAGAGCCGATATTGGCTGATTGATTGGCCTAATTTTAATCTAGTGATTACATTTCAAAGCTGCAGTTATTTCTTATTTAGACTCAAACTTTCAATAAGTCTTGCTGACAGTTTGTGTTTTGATGTTGAGCTAAAACAATTTAAACGTCTTTAAAGTGTATGAAATGTTCTCAACCAGCGTCCTCAGACAAACGCTGGTTTTTGTTCTGATGTGAATTATTGATCCTGGACTAGTTTTGGTGCTGAAGGTCGTAAATGAACGAGAAGCAGATTTTAGAGGAGGTTTTGGCAGAGTTGTTTAAAATCAATTTGTTTGACTCATTTTTGTGTCAAACGGATGAATCTGTTTCTGCTTCTGCGTTTTTTACTACAAGTGTGAACAAAAGTTTTATGGTTTTTAAAATGTTTCTGACTCTGCTGTTCTGAAACTTCTCTTTGAGTTTGGGTCCAATCAGCACCAACTGTCTGAACTGAACACTGAAACTTTTAAATCCTTCCTGGTCTCCTTCTTTCGGCTTTCCCCTCTTCAGGGGTCTCCACAGAGAGTCCTCCTCCTCCATTTCTGTCCTCTGTGTCCACTGTCCTCACTCCAACTACCTCCATGTCCTCTCTAACTGCATCCATGTGTCTCCTCTGTCTTTTTCCTGCGGCTGCATTTCTAACATCCTTCTACCAATAGACCCACTGTCCCTCCTCTGGACATGTCCAAACCACTGTCCCTCCTCTGGACATGTCCAAACCACTGTCCCTCCTCTGGACATGTCCAAACCACTGTCCCTCCTCTGGACATGTCCAAACCATCTCAGTGTGTCCTCTCTAACTTTATCTCCCAGTTGTTCAACCTGTGCTGTACCTCTGATCATCTCATTCCTGATCTTCTCCATCCTTGTCTCTCCTAAGGAGAACCTCAACATCTTCATTTCTTACACTTCCAGTTCTGTCTCCTGACATTTTGTCTTTTTGTCCATGTCTCTGTCTCCAGACCATACAACATAGCTGGTCTCACCACTGTCTTGTAAACTTTTCCTTTGACCTTTGCTGAAACTTTTCTCCATCACTCCATCCTGCCTGGACTCTCTTCTTCTCCTCTTCACCACACTCCCCATGTTCCTGGACAGTGGACCCCAAGTCCTTGAAGTCCTGCACCTTTGTGACCTCTGCTCCTTGTAGCCTCACTGTTCCACCTCCTCCCTCTCATTCACACACATGGACTCTGTCTTTCTACGGCTGACTTTCATTCCTCTTCTTTCAAGTACATACCTCCACCTCTCCAAGTTCTCTTCCACCTGTTCCCTGTTCTCACCACAGATCACAATGTCATCTGCAAACGTCATCGTCCACGGGGATTCCTGCCTGATCTCATCTGTTAGTTGGTCCATCACCAGAGCAAACAAGAAGGGGCTCAGAGCACATCCTTGATGAACTCCCACCTCCACCTTGAAGCTATCAGTCACTCCTACAGCACATCTCACCACTGTCCTGCTGTCCTCATACATGTCCTGCTGTCCTCATACATGTCCTGCTGTCCTCAGACATGTCCTGCTGTCCTCAGACATGTCCTGCTGTCCTCATACATGTCCTGCTGTCCTCAGACGTGTCCTGCTGTCCTCATACGTGTCCTGCTGTCCTCATACATGTGCTGCTGTCCTCAGACATGTGCTGCTGTCCTCAGACATGTGCTAATGTCCTGCTGTCCTCAGACATGTCCTGCTGTCCTCAGACATGTCCTGCTGTCCTCATACATGTCCTGCTGTCCTCATGCATGTCCTGCTGTCCGCAGACATGTCCTGCTGTCCTCAGACATGTCCTGCTGTCCTCATACATGTCCTGCTGTCCTCAGACATGTCCTGCTGTCCTCATACGTGTCCTGCTGTCCTCATACATGTGCTGCTGTCCTCAGACATGTGCTGCTGTCCTCAGACATGTGCTAATGTCCTGCTGTCCTCAGACATGTCCTGCTGTCCTCATACATGTCCTGCTGTCCTCATACATGTCCTGCTGTCCTCAGACATGTCCTGCTGTCCTCATACATGTCCTGCTGTCCTCATGCATGTCCTGCTGTCCGCAGACATGTCCTGCTGTCCTCAGACATGTCCTGCTGTCCTCATACATGTCCTGCTGTCCGCAGACATGTCCTGCTGTTCTCGTACATGTCCTGCTGTCCTCATACATGTCCTGCTGTCCGCAGACATGTCCTGCTGTCCTCATACATGTCCTGCTGTCCTCAGACATGTCCTGCTGTCCTCAGACATGTCCTGTACCAGTCTAACTTACTTCTCTGCCACTCCAGATCTCCTCATGTAACACCACACCTCCTCCCTCGGCACCCTGTCAGATGTTTTTTCTAAATCCACAAAGACACAACGGAGTTCTTTCGGACCCTCTCTGTTCTTCTCCATCATCATCCTCAAGCCAAGCTTACATCTGTGGTAGGGATGGGGCCGATCCGGTATCGGCCTCCCATACCAGCATAATTTACGTTTCGTTTCTTTCTGATCCAGCCTGCAGATCTCTGATCCATGATGCATGTCTGTGTCTGCTGAAACTTCTCCACATGTGATCCCCTGCCGGCTGCTCTGCACGTTGGCTTCAAACGATGGACTGGATTTCCTGAACGTGTCTCATGAACCCAGAGCAACAAGACCCACCTCACATTCAGGAAATCCAGTTCATAGTTTGCAGCAGCTACAACGTGAGTAAGAATGTGAAGACAGCAGCAGCACTGTGGCTAACAGCTAACAGACTTTCATCCAAACACGTCCGCTGTGTGCAAGTGTTTTACACTCAACACCACAAAACACGACGGCAGCGTCTGCAGAGCCGCAGCGCCGAGAGGAGGAAGCTCCGTTGCGACCTACAATTCAACAAACTTAATCAAACGTAGCGCCACATTAAACCACGGTGAAGTTAGGTTTACGTTGGACATTCAGGCTCCGGGGCTCCAGCGGTGTCTTCTTCTCGTTCAGTCCGAAGCAGGCAGTCTGATTTCAGTCTGTGAGGAGGGGCCGACTGAGCACGGCTAATGTTCACAGAGAAGTTGCTAAACTTCATCGTAATTAATGACCAACCACTGTCAGGTGTAGAAAACAGAGGACCTCACAGCTTTACTGAATATTTGCAGCCAAGATCTAGTTTATCCTCCAGGAGATATTTATCAGTACAACAGTAGACAATCATTAAAAAAGCATATGAATTGTAAAAAATACCAGAAAATTATATATATATATATATATATATATATATATATATATATATATATATGAAACAAAAATAGTTAGATTATAAAGTGATGTAAAATTCTAAAAAACAGGAACGTGTGTGTTGGTTTATACCATGAACTTGGATGTTTGAAGCCATTTAATCACTTTAATATCCACTTTAAAGTAGGAATATAAAACAAACATGTTTTGTGTTAGCAGAATTTATTTCTAACTTTGAAACTTATCCCACATTAATAAAACTTAAAGTTTCCTTTTTGGTCATGCACGTATATATTTGTACACATTGTACTTGCCTGTAGAGACATTCCAGCCAGTCAGTACCGGTCCTTCTCATCCTCTTTAGTGTCCAGCCTCTCATACAACTCTTCACCTTCTGCTTTGTCTCAGCCTCCTCCCTCTTGGCTCTACGTCCCATCTCCTTATCTTCCTGTCTCCTCTCCCCGTCATGTGTCTTCTTGGCTTGACAACAGTTGCTGTTTTAAATGTGCTGTATAAATAAATGTGACTTGGCTAACCTCTCTCTTTGAACATCTTCCTGCACGTCACTGTTCCACCACCAGGTTTCCTGATCATTCTGTCCAGATGACACACCAAGTCCTTCCCACCTGTCTCTCTAACTACTGTTGCTGTCCTAGTCCAGTCATTGTTCTGGATCGGTTTTTTCGGTCCTTTAAAACGTCACTTTTTCATCGACAACGATCAGGAAACCCTTTACGAAAACTAAGTGCCGATAAATTGTTCCATGGTTTCCAATCAGTCGTCAGCCGTTTCATTGCTTCTTCGTTTCATCCTATAGATCTGGTTTCCATGGAAACCTTCGTCATCTAGTCATTTCAAAATAAAGCCATTTTCTGTATGTTTTGATTGACGGCTCACTGAGCCTAGAGGAGCCTCCATGCGGGGTTCACGAAGGATCCTATGGTCCTTTAGAGCAGTGGTTCTCGAGTGGGCTCATGAGAAAATCAACACAAATCAAATGAACTTTAAACATGGTAGCATATTTGGCCTGACTGGTTAAAATTAAACGAATGTGTATATATTTGTAGAACTTATAGTCTTTGCTAAATGTTTACTAAGCAATGTGTCGGGGTCTCAAGCAACATCCAGTTTAAACCGCTGCTTTAGAGTCCAACAAACGACCATTTTTAAACATCCATCCAAACGTCCTTTTTGTGTCTGTCACTTGTGATTTTGGGCTCACGTTTTAAAAACGTGTTCTTCTGCAGGGCCTCTGATCAAACTTCTCTCGTATCGTGTTTAAAGATACTTAAATGGTGACATTTAACACCACCTGTAATGTGGTGGTCAGCACACGTCTGAACCCGAGTCTGTGCCCAGAACCAGCCTGTAGGAACCAGAACCAGCCTGTAGGAACCAGAACC